AGGAAACAACTGCTCCCTGCTAGCGCTACCTGCATCCAGTACAGGAAAAGAAGATATTCGGTATCTGTTGGATCCATCAAATCTTCAAATAGCCAAAACGCCTTCAGCACTAGCAAATACCATAATAACAGACAGCTGATGTCCCGCTTTCCACAGTACTGCTTACTGTGGCTGCCCATACGAACAACCTCCGCAAACATTTTGATTTAGATCTGGCTGCTAGGCTTGTAGTTTATTTTCTATAAATTAAGTGGGGGAAGAGGGAAAAGGAGCAATAACTATTAAAAACCCTCCCTTCAAACCTGCAAGAAGACAAGACGACTGTAGGAGCAGCTGCTATTGAAAACCTATGTTACCTAGTTATTCCTGCCATGGTAGAGTCCAGGAGGCTAAACATGAAGCCTGGAGTCACCAGTTATCTTTCCCAAATCCCAACAAACATTGGCTATACACACCTTGTAGAACTTTCCTATAATAAAGCTCTATAAGTAAAGTGCAAATCACCATGAGAGGAAACTTACTGGATCTCCCGGAGGCCCCTGTGGCCCCATTGGTCCCTGAAACCCTGGAGTTCCAGGTGGACCCTATAAAAAATTAAAATGGCATAATTAACAAATGGTATTAATTTGGCAATTTCATGATACTGATATAATTTTAATTGAAGGTCACTGCTATTCAAACATCCTTTATACTTACAGGTAGTCCAGGTTGGCCAGGAAAGCCTTTATCACCTTTTAACACACTAGGAGGTAAAAGACCAATCACTTCACCTGGATCTCCCTATAATAAGAAAAGAAAAAGAATAATATTTGAACAGTGATTCAAATGCATTCAAAAACACTAATATTGAGATGAGAGGAAAGTTTGAGCCATGCAAAGTTCGGAATCATTTGGAAAACTGTCTGAAAAAGTCGCCTTCTTTTAATTCAGCTGAAACACAGCAAGCGATATTAAAAGTAAAGATCTTAAATTGCCAAATGTCCTACAAAGCCACCTGAAGAGATGTCAGTACCAAATCTTCCTCCTTACCCTAATTTCCTGTACTGTAATGGGTAATCAGACAGGTTTTCCCACCAAATCTATCACTACTACAGTGTCACGACACAATTCGAGCATGTGGCCTGGCTGCTGAGAGAAGTGGTAACCTCACAACCTCTTTTTGAGGCCGAGATCTTCAGTCTTATACCTAATTTTGACATAAAAGCCTTTTACGGTATCCTTTTTCTTCAGAATAGTAATCAACTTTGTCTTACTTTAGAAAACTATTCTGATCATTATCCACTTCTTTATGTTTCCTGTTTTGATACCAGAAGAGCTCATTTTTCTGCATTTGTATAAAGTTGCAATATTGTAAGTGATTTTATTTCAGGAGTTGTGTACCTATGTATACATGCCTAGGGAAAAACACTTGAGTACTTCAGTGTTTATAGCCTAGTTCTTCCCATGTGAGAGAAAGAGAAAAGGGCATTTCACAGCTTCAGACAGTCATATCATTACAAATCTGAGACTACATTTAGACATATTTAGCTTACAGTTCCAAATTATATCTGTTCACTTTAAAGAGCAAAAGCTCTCTATTGACATTCAGTAGTTCATTCTCCAGTTCACAAAATGCACTCAGATACCTAGTTAGTTAGTTAAATTTATTTCTTTATGAAAACTGTTTAGTATGTGTTGGATGCTTCTCATATTGTCTATATGACCTTCTTCCACAAACATTCTCTATTTGAAACTATTTAGATAAATAAAAGGTCAGTATCAAAACAAATGTTTGAACCATAAAATCCATTTAAATCTTTATACATAATTGGGTGGCCACCATACTACTTATACATAATTAATGTTATGTACTATTTTTTTCTGTTGTAATCCATGTAATACTTACACTTTTAAGACCTGCATGGAATAACACATATGTTCAATTGTTATTAACTGGAGGTCGCCCCACTGCCTTTGTTTAGTGGGACTGCAGAACAGAGTACAACATGAAACATGCCAGTACAATTTTTCAGTCCTTCAGCAGGGACTGCTAGTGTTAGAGGGTGTAGAGTTCATGCTAATTTTTATTGTTAGAAGCTGGATATGGAGACACTTCAAGTAAAATGTACCTTCATTCCAGGAGGTCCTGGCGGTCCCTGTGAAAAAAGACGTATTTGATGTTATTTTTCCTCAGTATTGCATATTTTACATTTTATACTCCATAATTTCATATAGTTATATTTGCATTTCAAGAATCAGCCTTGAAACAAGTGAATCAAGCATGAAAGAATCTACTTACTATGCTCCCAGTCAGCCCTGGTAAACCTGGGGGACCAACTGGACCTCTTTCACCCTAAAGGGAACAGAGAAAATAGTTTTGTTTAGGAAACATATGTTTGAGGGAAGTTTATTTAGACACAGAGATGGTGTCATAAACATATGTAAATGTCACCTTTGTGCCATTACATACTGGAATGCCCTACATGAAAATAAAGTAAAAAATTGGCAATATTAGCAATAATCCAGGTCAGATGCCACAACTAAAACTTTCACGTTCATTGTAAAAATACATAGACTTCATACGTACAGGAAGGCCTGGGTTTCCTGGAAAGCCTGATGCTCCTGGGGGGCCCTGCAATCAACAGAAACATATTGAACTGGGGAAACTGAAATGGCAAACCCACAAAACGGCAACGACAAGTTGCAGCCGGAGTTGCATCTCCAGTGGGGACAGTCAAAAATGAAGTAACACTTTCTTCTAAACTTCTCTGACAAAATAACTCTGATCTTGAAAACCTCTCAGATATGGTATCTTAGTGACTGGTAACTGAAAGCAATGTTTTATATTTACTTAGCTTTTTAAGCAGCAATGTGCATTACCTTCAACAGGAACTGTACCAGAGCTTTACGCACAGGTAAAAAGGAATGCAGAGGCTCTGTCTTCTCACAACCATCATTCCCATGAAATTTACTGCAGGCACCTCTTCACAGAAGAGGATGGTAACACACCATAAAATTGCTTCTCCATCTGTCATGATCCACATCATTGTATCAAGTTCATCTTTATCATAAAAAAAAAAACCTACTGGGTTGAAATAACTCTTTTTCCTTGAACAGCTTTCTAGTGTAATGGATCAGGAGTTTGACTTGGCACATCATTTTCATCCTATCAGCTTATTTATTCATGCAGTATTTCCTAATACATGTGTTGTGAAGCAGAAAAGATGTATTGGACTCCTGTACTTCAGACAGTATATTTGCATCTCCCAAAACTTTATCATTGCTAATATACAGTCTACTTGCACTGTAGCATACAAACACATTTGCCAGCAGATGCCAATTTACATTAATGCTCAGGATACCCCAGGGCATCGTGAACATCACAGACTGAAATGAGGATTTCTTGATCTAGCAGAATATCCTCTGTAATGGCTCAGAAACTGCAGTCGATTCAGTAAATTCTATGTGCCTCAGCAACTGCAGGCAAATGGGAACAAAACTGAGACAGTATTTTGAAAATCTGTGGACAAGGACATAGCTGAAAATGTGTGTATCATTACTGGTCAAGTTATTCAAATTCTCTTTCATCATTACATTACATTACAAAATGTGAAAATGCTCTGAATGAGCTTGGCACCTCACAACGCCCCAAGAGACATGGCTCTGGCTAATATAATGTGCTAAAAGAAGTGTCATATAAGTGTCACATTAAACAGAAATGACAAGAGGAAGGTTACAGGCATATTCAGAGCCTCTTCTAGCAAAGTCGAGAGATCTTTGTCCCTGGCTTTAACTCAGCTCTGCACCCGGCACACATTTTTAACATGAATGTGCTCATGGGTGTGTCAGCGTCTCTGCTGGAGTGCTTCAGAGAGGTTAGACAGCAAACATAAAGGAGAATTTTGCATGAGGTAATAAGGTTAGTTCATATTCAAGCTGGAAAAAGCCTCTTGGTATGTCAGAAAGATATCAAAGGCATATTAAAACCAGTGCTGTTGATGCAGTGGTAAATACCAGGTGAAAATGCAAATAGACAAAGGCACTGACTGCCCAATGGAGAAAGAACTTCAAAGGCAAAAGCAAGAATTTTGAAATTATTGTGCAACACAAGGTGATGCCATTGATTAACACAAAGAAGAGACTAACCCAGTCTTGCACTTGAAGGCAGCCCTGGAGAGTCAAAGACATATAAACCCATAGACATCAGAACTGCAAAAAAGTAAGTTAGAACTCACTCTTGTTCCCTTTGTTCCTGGCAGTCCTGGTTCTCCAGTATCACCCTGCAAAGAAAAAGAGACAGCTTTGTCTTTCCTACAGACAACAACTTAGGGAAATCTGAGTGTTTTAAATCTTAAAGTTTATGTTCTTACCTTAAGCCCTGGTGGCCCAGGGGGACCTTCAGGTCCTTGCATTCCAGGAAACCCAATCACACCCTGTAGTCCCGGCAAGCCTCTTTCTCCCTGTGGAAGAAGAAAACTCCTTAGCAACTAAACAGCTGAACTGCTGCTTCTAGCAACCCACATGTCCCCCGCTTCTGTGTTCCAGAAACCTGTCAGGTGGCAAGAAGCTACACATGACAGCAAACACTTCATGTTGGTTATTTGAAAGAAGGACTTTTATAAACAAAGAAATATTTCTGGTTCAGTAATAGGTTGGCAGAGGTTGAGTGCGGTGTAATAGAAAAGTATTTTTTGACTTTGAACCAAAACCTTTTTTCTGTCTCCCTCAACAGCACTGTTAATGCATGTTTATACCCCTGGGATCAGGAAGGCCACTTTCCCTCTAGGAAAACCTATCTGCATTCCTACAGAGATCCGCTAAATCCTAGTAGAAAATCCAGCACCCCAAATCAGCAATTAAAGTTCTGAAAACCGCAAATATCACTGTTCTGTCACTACTTTTCTTGTATATCATCCATAACAGCATATTTTTGAGACAGGCTTGTCACTTAACCTTGAATTTCAGGGTGGCTCAGAGACAGAGTGCTTCGAGATACAGGATCTTCCCAAGAAGTCGAACTCACAGATTGTATGTGTCATCCTTCAGGTTCTTCTTTAATGCTGTACGGGACTTCTGTGTTTTCTGTGCTGTCCCTCTCCCTACAACCCTAAACGTATTTAAATTGGATAAATCTAGAGGCAGAAAATCCATCTACACTCTAGATCAATATTGCAGCTATTACACATTCACTACATTTGGACTCCCAGTGAAACCAAGAGAAGCACTGTCTGAATAAAGGCTACAAAATCTACACATACTGGAGAGTGAAAAAAAAATTATGCGTGTCAAAGTCTGAAAACAGCAAATAAAGCAAATCAAAAGCTGAACGTTCCATGCAGAAAGTAACCAGAGTTGTCCTTTCAAAGTGTGGTGTGAAAAAGGGAGAAACACTTCATATTGTCCAAAAAATGTGGGAATATTGGATGAATACAACATTAGCGAGCAACTGCAAAAAGGAAAAGGTATACAAGTTTGGACAACAGCTACAAAACATGGCACCTGTTTTAGAACCTCAAAACACAGACCAATTTTCAAAGCATACCAACAAGAAAATAAAATCAACAAGGTTCAAACACACAAAAGGAAGCTATGCAAAGACAAAGGTTTAAGTATTTTCAGCAAAACAGTGAGAAATCGGATTTTATCATGGTGAACAGCAAGAAACTTTTCTCCTGTTGGCTCAGGAGAAAGATTCCCAACAATACGCTGCTAACTTGCAGGGGTCATCTGAGGACTGAGCACACAAGAGCAGAACATCCGAGTCTTGGAGAGCTCACTCTTCAAGCAGGTGTAACAGGCATCTTGCAAAGAAAAGGTTAGGATATGCAGGCAGAGGAGAGGAGAGGAGAAAACTACAACGGAGATGATAAGAACATGAGAAAGTGAAATAAAAATAACACTAATTTATTAAAATTTCCTGCCAGGAAAAACTCTACTGCTGCTTCTCTTCTCCTTCCTCCCACAAAAATATTTTTTTCAATAAAAAGCTACTTTCTGAGGCAAACAATCAGTTTTTCGTTGAAATGCCAAAATGGCATGAGCTCCCCTATTTACCCTCCAGTATTCTTCGCCATGGCTTGAGAATGAAGATTGCTACTAACCCAAATCTGAGGCCATGTGTTAGACCACAAAACAGCAAAACAAAGCAAACAGCAGAACAGCTGAAGAAATATATTTCTAGGTCAGCTGTAAGAGATACAAAGTCCAAGTTCTAAAGTAACTAAAACTGTTTTGAAAAATATTTTAAGGAAGAATGTGTCAGGATCAAGGCCTCTTAATAAATGTTGAAGTAATTAAAAATCTGAAGGCTATCTGAAATGTTAAACAAATTACTGAGGTTCTAAAACCCACACTTTGGCTGGCTAATTGGCACTGCAGAAACAGGCGTATTTCTACAAAATCAGATATTGTGTCACTTCAGACCAGGATTTCACACTGAACCGTGGGCACTTGCTCTCACAACCTGCTGGGAGATGGACTAAGGAGGGAGAAGGCACTCAAGCACTTAGAACAGGGTTTTCCGTTGTTGAAGGAAAGCACATGTGCAAATGAGAAGAAAACAAGGTTATTCTGACACCCATGGAAAAATGTGAAGTCATGTGAAACACAACCAACACTTTCTGCACTCAGGAGTTCTGTCCCTCTGAGGATTTCAACACGTTTTGACCCACTGCACCCTGCAACACAGGGAAATAGTCTTTCCTCCATTCTTAAGGAAAGATAAAACTGAGGTTTACAGATCAGATTTTCACTTAGTCTAAGGCTCCCTTAAGGCTATTCTGGCACTGTAAAAGGGCCTTAACATGCCTGTAAATCACTCACTAAGGTAATGACCACTTCAGCTTGCCAAGGAGGTTCACTCAAGGCTTGAAATAAATAAAAACCTGGGATTCCAAGGCAGCTATAGTAATTTCTTTCAAGGCTGTCTTCATTCTCCCAGGCTGCCCTGTCTGACGGGTAAAACACAGTTGCAGGAGCAGAGCCGAGACAGCATTGAGTTAGGTTTCCCTGCAAACATTTTATTTCACTGAGACAAACTGTTAAGCCAATCAGAAAAATAACTGGCTATTTGTCCAGGACTCCTGAACATCCAGTCAAGCTACTGGATGTCCCGAGGCCTGGAGAGCCTAACTGCTGAGCATGTGGACTGTCTCAAATACCGCAGACTCACGCTTTCTCATACTGGAACTGAGCTCATCTTTTTGCCTGTGATCTGCCAGAGGGAAGTAAGGAAATATAAAGCGACCACATGTGTGAGAGCCGCCGGATCCCTCTCTGCATGCAACCTGCCACCTCGGCCACTTCTTCTAACAGGAGAGCATGGACTTACACACTGCTTACCTCTCCCTCTACTCTGCCTTCCCATTTGACTTTACTGCAAAGTAAGTTTGGGGTAAGTAGTTCAAAGTAAGTATTGGGTAAGTAGCCCAAACTTCTGCAGTCTCAGGCTACACAGCTAATAGGACTTTACTCCTCCATGCCATCCACGGAAACTCAGAGAAGTTAGGACAACCTGTTCCACCAAGACCCAGTAACAGACCTAGGGATGTCTCCTGGGTTCCAGTCCCTTTCTTTAGTCCAGGTAACAGACTGCCTCTTTATATAACAGTTTTAGAAAAATAGTGTGCCAAAACTTGTAACGGAAGAAGCAGCACTAATGAACAAAAGTCTTACTTCAGTACTCCTGCTCCAGTTAGTACCAACTTCCACCATGAGACCTTTTTTTGGCATCAGTGAAACTACACTAAATTACAGTAAAATTCTACCAGTCTCAAAGTATCTACACTGAACAAGAGAGTACAGAGACTCTACCATCTAGAAGCTGTCAAGTCATGTGAATGCAGAGCTCCATGTGTCCTAACGGCACTGGGTAGATTAGCCTGCAGAGATCACCGGGGTAGCAAGATTTGTACCACTGCTTTCCTACCCAAAGTGGCTTATTTGGAACTTCAAGCTCAGAGGAAGCCATCGCTCATTATGCTGTGCAGTACAGACATAAGCATGTCCTGAAGATGCCTTGCACTGCAAGGAAATACTTGAGCAGCATCCTTTCCCCACTTGCCTGCCCAGTTCCTTTCTTCACTCAGTGTTCCAGTCAGTGTTTGCACTACATTTATGCTGCACCTCATTAACTATCCACACTACATCAACTGGCAAGCACCAGATCACCGCTGCTACCCCACTTATTTTTCACTCAGCGCTGAGATTTCTAGCTGCGATGCATGAAGAGCATGAGACTCTTGACTGCAAGGGCTATGTATTGTTCAAGTTCCAATATTCACAGCTGCAAAATCTTGGCAAGTAATACTGAAAGAGCTTCTGCTTCTTACAAATCAATTCATGAGACTCAAAAATTAAAACAGATGTAACCAAGTCATCTGTACCTCTGCTGATTCAATGCAAACTGTCAGAAAGCACAAAGGAGAATTCATTACTCAGCTCACAAAAATGAACATTCTGCCACTTGGCTGCTGAAAATGCGAAGGTGCTACGTAAAAAGACAGCAAGTGCTCAGTCGCTGTTGCACTCATAAGTAAGATGCCTGTATTAGCGCAGCTTTTGTGAAATGCATGCAAATGCCTTTGCATTAGAAAGTTCAAATTAGCAGCAACTGAATGGACTTCTAAACAGAGGTGAACCTGTTAAGAGCGTAACTGCAGGGGCTGATAGTTTTTCTGGCATCTACTCTTCCAAATTAACCATGAAATGCTGTTTGACACATGGAACAACTGCAGATTGCTAAGCCAGAGAGTCACATGAAGTAAGTAGTTTCAGAAGATTCAGCTGTAATAAATTAAGTGCTGAGGGGGAGGAAATAATCACCCCCCCATTATAAATTATTTCCCCTATTATTTTGTCTAGGGACTGCCAGACTGGGAGATCTTAGACTCGAGAAACTGGTAACATGGATATAAATCAACTGTTTCCAGAAGTGCGGGCTTACAGGGTGTCTGGGCCCATATGAATATAATATTCTCAGGCTCTTCAGAGACTCAGGCACATGGTGAAAAACAATGTGCAGATCTTCCCAAACCCATTTGAAGGATGCTTCATTTGCCTCTGCCAGGACTCGCCCTGCAGCTGAGACGGCAGGACAGACACGTGCCTGACCTTCAGCCGAAAAGTCAAAAAACTCACTCTTAGGGAGAGATGTCAAAAGGCAGCTGAGCTGATCTACCCAGCAAAGGTGGCTCTTCTCTTCTTTCTTTTAAAGGGCTGGTGCCGCCTCACCCTTTTCTACACCAGCTGGTATGATTCCCCAGGCCTCCACTGCACCAGTTCAGCTCACTAAATGTACTCACTTCTTCTTTAGCGAGTGAGCTTGCTCTGGCCTCAGTGAGCTGAGGAGCTCATCAGGTGGCCAGGCGCCTGCCAAAACCGACGTGGGGAGCACACAGCAATGCAGGACGCAGGGCGGAAAGGCAGTGAGAGCAGCTTCTCACACCAGCGCAGTGGGGTT